ACAGACACGAGGTCGTTTGCATAAGCCCGCTAGATAGCTTTTTCAAAGCAGAAGGGCGGGCTAAAAACACTCAAACACGGTAGTGTACTGTATTCAGGAGGAAGTTTGTACATGCTTATGTGCAGGAGGTAGTGAGTACTTGGCCAAGTACACATGTGTACTTGTACTTGTGCACTTCAGTGCATAGGTTTTATCGTAGGGCTCTACCCGTGTAAATGGCCTGTACAGACTACCTTCTGAATACAAGTAGGAATTCCGGAGGTACTACATGCATACACACTTGAGTTTCCAGAGTGGTCGCCTAGCTTATTGTCAACATTTTGGCACCCACTCCTCTTTGGTTGACAAATTTTGACTGTCTTTCGGAGATAGCAAAATTTTTGGCCTCTTTGCTTGCCAAAATTTTGGTCTTTCAAGCGGCCAAAAATGTGCCTTCTTTTAAATTGATATTAAGTTTTGGCAAATGACGTCCAAAAGACGTCCATAGTCAAAAAGGAGTGCCAAAATTTTGTCAAGTTAAGGCGACCAAGGCGTTTAGAGTGGAGGAACCTAGCGGCACATTTTTCGCTCGCCTTGCTTTGCATAGCAGCAGGGAACTGGAAGGCACATGTCTCCCCTGATGACGTAGTGCCGTCCGTGCCGCGCATGACAGCGGAGGGGAGAGGGAGCCGGGGGTAAGTGCCTCGTGCCGTCAATAATTTTCCTGCAACCTAAGCAGGCCGATGCCGATGGCCGCGTCGAAATTATGCCATGTGCGCTGCTTCACACTGACCCCTTTCGTAATGGACGGTTTGAGATGTATGAAATTATAATTAGATGACGGGTGAAGCATTTTGGGCAAAAACGTTTTGTTGGAAAAAAATTCCGGTCCTCAATTTCGCACACACGACACTCGCAATCCTCACTCACATTCACTCACACTACTCACCTGGCTTGATGCACGACATGCCACACATGCCGTCGCACCTGCACTTCTTCTTCTTGCTCTTGCAGTCCTCATCGGAGGAGCACTTCCGCAGGCACGTCTGACCCTGTAACATTTCGAAAAGTGTTCTGCTAGGTCCTACATGGTAAAAAATGCACTTTTTTGCAATCTCTGCTGTAAAAGCAAGCCACAAATCCCACTTGTTACTAGCATTTTGCCACCAAGGGCTGTAAATTGATGGCATAAGTTGTGAAATGATTGCTTCAAAAAAGTATCATTGATTTCATGTTTTTTGATGCAAAGTAACTATATTAGATCCCAAGTTCGATGTCTTTATTTGGGCTTGAATTGTAATTAATCTTACAACTAGAGCTGTAAATTGATGCCTGCGCCGTAAACAAACATTGCAAGCCGTATCATGGGACATGATTTTTTTAATGTAGAAGTTGTTTTAACAGTGTAGGCCGTAAGTAGATAAAAAGTCAGTTTACGTAGTGCGAAAAACTACCCTCATATTGGGAACAAGTTTGCCCCGTGGGAACTGGCGCACTTGGCCCTCGCCCTCCTACGAGCCATGCTGCTGACAACAAATGAACCGACGTAAAATTTGAAGACAAAAAGTAACAACAAAATACCCCCCTAAAATTAGCGTAATTTGTGTACGACCCCTATCGCCCGCCCTCTATGCCCCTCAATGCCGCTGCAACAGGTGGCGCACAGCACGCCAGGCCTGTCAACCTCTCTGTCTCTCCCTCGGAGCCTGCCCGGGGGGCACGGGGCCCCCTGCTGTGACAAGGGCCGACTTCTCTGGGGACCCTCCAGGCTATCCTCTTATGCACTTTGCGGCCGCATCAGCTCACATGCCGCCGCCACACACGGCATGCGGGTCTTTTCCTTCTCCGGGGTTTGCAGCGAAAAGTGTACGAATCAGTGGTGGGGAATATCCGCGGATATACCACTAAGACAGTCTTGAACTAGAATTCAGTGAGCTTAAGGACTTTGTTCCAGAGGAAAACTGAGCTGTGAAAACAAACCAACCCAACCACTCCTTTCTCCTATGAAATCACAATGCTTGCTTCATGTACAACTTGAATGCAAGCACGTCTTCCCCATTTGTGGAACAGGAAACGCCCCTGGCACGGCGCGTATATGTGCAGCTTGCTCCCCTTACCCCCTGCCCCTCCCTTATGGTCGGTCTCCAGGTCTCCGCGCTCCTTTAACGCGGGTGCTCGGTGCTCTGCTCTGGGATGGCCCGGATGGTCGGTCCGCTCCGCGCCAGCCAGCGGCCCAGGGCCCAGGCCAAGGTCAGGGTCAAGCACAACCCACTTCCAGACGCTAAAGCCCACCATAGCAGCGCCCGCTGCTCCCCCGCGGCGCGCGCGGCGTCCCGCCTCCATATGACTCCCTGGACGTCCGTAATACTCACCAGGAAGTTGGCGTGCTCCTCGTCCCTCGGGCACACGGCCGACGGCGAGTTCCTCGGGTTCTTGTACACGCGCTCGTCGTCCTCGGCCTCCGTCGAGTCGTAGTCCTCGTCCTCCTCGGGCGCCACCGTCTGGCCCGCGGCCGGGGCGGCCTGCTGCGCCTGCGGCCCGCTCTCCGAGTAGCGCTTGGAGTGCACGCGCCGCGCGCCTGCAACGCGTGAGGCACAGTTATTTCAGGGGAGGAAATAAAAGATATTTGCTGTTCAGTTCAACTGCTAATTCTGCCTGACAACAGACACAACACAGCGAGACGCTCAGCTCGACGGCAGCTGCAGTGGGGGCGCACCAGGAGCAGGCGAAAGGGTGGAAGAAAGGGAGGGAGAGAGAGAGAGAGAGAGAGAGAGAGAGAGAGAGAGAGAGAGAGAGAGAGAGCGAGAGAGAGACTCTGACAGACTCACCCGGCTTGCGTAACAAATTACACTAAGCGGCCCCTTTCCTTCCCGGAGCCAGATTACTGCTGCTGGTGGGGAACCCGGGGAACCCCAATAATTGGCCACCCCATTAGATTTGCATATATGCAAATATACCACCGTCCGTCTCCCTCTCTCTTTCTCTGTCTCTGTCGCACACTCTCTGCTGCAGGAGCAGAAGGAGCCGCCGTGAATTCAAGCCTCCCCAGCTCTACGCATTCCGCCCGTTCAATGGGGCAAAGTTGTGAGTAAAATATACCCCACAAAAGTTGTGATCTATGCTCTTTTTAAAATAATATAGGATGATGGTGGAGGGTAAGATGGTGACTTCTCCACCTGGACCCTTGCCTGGCACACTGACATACTCCCTTAGCAGTGCGACGGGGGTCGTCCAATTTAAAAGTCACTCCTCGGCTTCCTACCTCTCTGACCCTCCGCACGGCGCCACCAAACCATCCTACCCTGCCCTTCCACCCCCCATTCTGGCCCTGATCCGGAGATGTGAGGCGAGCATGCGGTCAGGGCGAAGGACAGTCAAAACCAATAATTCTCTCTTTTTTTCTGATTTTTTTTTTTTTCAAAGCTGTGAAGCCGATTAACTGCTCTCTCCTCTCCCCCTGCTCTCCCCCGGTGTAAATGGCTGACCGGCTAATTGTGGGAGGCAGCCCCCCGTCCCCCCCGGCTACCCCTCCCGACGGCACCCTTATCAGCAGGGAGCACGCCGAGCGGAGGGGGGCGGGAGCACCCCTGCATCACCGACTGGACGGGAGACGGCTCGGAGACAATGGGTCTCAGGGACCGAGGGGGGGGAGGGGGCGGGGGGGGGGAGAGCGACCATAGGGACAGGGACAGCTCTGGCGAGGACGGGCAACAAGGATGGCCGAGGGAGGAGGACGTCCGAGGGGGTCTGCTGCTCTGGGAGAGGACGCCGGCAAAGATTAAAGGAAATGGAGAGGAGGTAAGGGGGCGGGAGGGGAGTGGTGGGGTTGGGGACTTAGTGCACAGCTATGCCTGTCGTGTTTGCTGTCGACATTATGTGGGGGTGACAGCAATGTAACTCCTTCGCCGGGCATCCCCTCAGGTATGCAGGGCGAGAAATTAAGATTTGACTAGCAGCCCCCCTGCCTTCCCCTTTTGTGTTCTAAAGAAACTGCACAAGAACAAACTACTACCAAATACAAACTAACTCTCTTTGTCTTGATTTTTCCCCAAGAGTGCACTGAGTGCGCCGCGCGCTGCGCCGAGGGACGGAGAGAGCCTGGTAGGTAGGCAGCCGGTGGACAGCCGTGTCGAGTTGGTAGTCTACCCCCCAGGCGCTCTTCCCGTTACCCTGCTCTTGCCGTTTCCTCCCATTCGTTCTACGAGGCAACGCCAGACTGGCAAAGACTGCTTTTTTGTGGGTGGGTGGAGGGCTGTTTTCACCCCTCCGTTTCCTTGTCGGTCAACGTCCACCTTGCTCCGCCCGTTTCTTATTTGGCAGCGTTTCTTTTAATCGGCGCCGAGCAGCTGGACCCACCCGCGGCCTATCTCTGTGCGCTCCAGAAAGTACTAATGAAGAAGTGGATGGATCTCTCTGAGGACCCTCCACCCTCTCTCTATCTTTTTCATTCTTGAAAAATCTTTTTGGTTGTTGCGTAGAGGGGAAAACTCTCTTCTTGTTGTTATATGTTTGTTTTTTATTTAAACATGTCTAAGAGTAAAATCAGTATAAAATTCAAACGCGTAATATAAAGGGCACCTACCACCCACCCATGTAGGTAATTTCTTGTGTGAGGGTGCCTGGCAGCATGAGAGTGATGGCAGCAGTCTGTCCGTAATTCCGCTTTCAGCAGAGGATATTGCACTTACTTTTAGTCTCCTTTTTTGACCCGGGAAAAGGGGGGGGGGGCTACCCTTCTTTAATTTACTTTACCAAGCAGGAATGTTTTGGACGCGAAGAAGACGTGGTATAACTAATTGAGAGAGTACTTTGTTGCGATGTTTTCCGTAGTTTTGTTTCGTGTCATTTTTAGTCACGAGAGACTGAAAACGAACAACGAACGGAGCACCGTGGGCCAGGGCAAAGTGCAAGAGGAAAAGAATTCGCGTGAAATATGCGTGACATTCCACACGTTTCGCGTAAACCCCCGGACTGGTCCTGCATGCCTGCGCCCCCTCCCTTCGGCCAGGACAGAGAGAGAGGGGGGGGGGGCTGTCTCGGGTGGGTCCCGGGGGCCGCCGCCAGGACGGCGTTATCGGCCACCGGGCAGACCACACGGGGGCCGCAGGGCGCCGCAGGGCACCGCAGGCCCGACCGCGACCAGCGGCCACCAACACGGCGGGGCCTACGGGGCGCAAAGCCGACTGCGAAGCACTTCACGAGGCTGGAGGGGGAGGGCTGAGGGGGTGGGCAAGACCCTTATCGCCACGGGACGAGGTGCCACGACTCTTCGCCGCTATACGCTGCTCCCGTCGGGCCGGGAGGGGGAGAGGGTGGCAATCCAATGAGGCACCCATTTCAGGCTTAGTTTCACCCGAAGGCGCTCGCGGGCCGTACGCCCCCCCAGCCGGCGCAGGCAGCGGAATACTATAGACTTTGCCCTCCCACGCCCTCCCTCGCTCTCCTCCATTCTCCTTTCGCAGTGCGCCCCCGCCACGCCCCACCCCGCCCCACCTCGCCTCACCACCGGAATGCGCGCGTATGTGTGGTGTGCGCGGCCCCCGCTCACATGCGTGGGGTAGATAGGCCAAAGCGAGGGAGGGGGAGAGGGGCCGGTAAGGGAGGAATCCGTCAAAGGCTGCAGACAATTGGGCGTTCAAAGCCAGCCAGCTAGGCAAGGCGGGCGACTGCGGGGGAGGCAAAAGGACCGACAAGGTCCTGCGGCTATACAGGCTGTGGCCGGCTGTGGCTAGAGAGGGTCCTGCTTGCGAGTCCTGCAGCAGCGGCAGGCCTTGCGGCCATTGGGGGCCGTGCCGGAGGATGGGGGAGGGAGGGTGGATGGGGGTCGTTGCGCTCCGGCAGCCAACGAGTGTGTTGTACAGGGCAGCAGCACAGCGCAGTGCATGCGCTGGGGAGAGGCAGGCGCCCTCCGTCAGCTGCGAGCCAGGGTACCCACCCACCCACCTGACATGCTCACCCACGACCTTTACTCCCCTTCCAGCGTGCAATATTTCTTCCTTGCATCAATCTGGCGTTACTTTCCGAGTCTAAGCAGCGGTATTCTGAGTTTCCAAGAGCTCATACTTTGCTGCTTGCTTCCTATTCCTCGGCGCTATACACGAGAAGGGGCGTCGAAATGCGGCGGCGGGGGCGGCAAACGGGGGCCGCGCAGCACCGCCGCGTATCGCCGGGACCCCGCTTGTCGCCATAACAGGGCCTTTTCGGTCGGGCGGACAACAAGTTATGTAAGCGGCACTTATTCCTCCTCCCTCTCCCCTCGCTATACCGCGCGCCCTGCTCTCCTACAAGGAGGGCGGCTCCGCGGGAGGGGCGGCGCGCGGCGGGCGGCGGGGGTTGTCGCGGTGGTGTAGGCGGCGGCACCATTGGCGGTTGGCGCGATGCTCGGCGCGTGGAGCGGAATTCGTTATCGCATTTTCCTGTCGGAACGCCTCTAACAGGCCTAACAAGCCCCGCCCCGCCCGGCCCCGCCACCATCGCGACCGACCGGCCTGCCTGTCGCCGTCGCCGCCACCACCGCTGCTGAAAGGGCGTAAGCCTGGGGGGAGGGGGGCGTAAAAAAGAAAAGTGTGCTGCTGAGGTGGGACACGGGGGACATGAGCGGCGCGGGGAACGACGTGCTGCTCGCTGCTCCGCCTCGGCTGCTCGCGCGGATCATTCCCGAGGGGAGCGAAATAACACCGCGGTGTACACTACTCTACTATTCGGGGTGCCGACATGACAACCCACGCTCCGCGCCGCGACTCGCCTCCCCGCGCCCGCGCCCTCGCCCGCGCCGCCCTGCCACGCCCAGCCCGCGCTATGCCCGGCACGTTCTGCTCATCCTTGTGTACATTTCTAAGGTTCGATGCCGGAATACAAAAACGCAACCTTCCCTCATTTTCTTTTTCTCGCTCTCTTTCTCTCTCTCTCTCTCTCTCTCTCTCTCTCTC